ACATCTCTAGCCAGAAAGCAAACAGAAAAAGATTCAAAAAGGTTTTTGTTGTTGTTGTTTAATGCTCTGGGCCAAGAAAATTGAGTGCAATATCCAAGAATAACCTTTTTTAGTGCTTGAAGTCTGTAATCCCAGGATTTCCAGTCAAACTGGGAAAGCACCAAATTATGAAAGGATATCTTAAAACTAAGCCGTACTCCCATTTCTAATAGCTGGCTTTCTTTTCTCTTCTCTTATTTCCTTCGTCCCTCCCCTCTTTAGAAGCACAATATTGGCTACAGTCCTGATCCATTCCAGGCTCCCAGGACATTGCAAAAACCCACAATTCCTCTAAGGGTTAATTTGTACACCATTGACACACTCCCTGCCAAAATCTGAAAAACGTTTCAGGGATTTCAGACACTTTTGGTGGGGTGGATGAAAAAGTAATAAAAAAAAACCTGGAGAATATATTAAGTGCTACATAGCATACTCAAGAGTTAGTAAAACTGAGACTCACAGCTAGGATCTAAGCCAGTTCATGAATTAACAAGATGTCCAATCTTTTATTTACTCACATTATGTTACTGTGGCAGTGAGGGGGTCATTTTATGAGCGATTGGTTGAGTCTTGCTCAGTCGGCACTTTATGAAAGTTTTTAAAAAATCAGAGTAACTATGGTACAATATGATTAAAGTGATGAACATAAAGCATAACATTAATAAGCAAGGTAGATCAACAATAAAACTAACAAAAACAGAAAATAAAAAACATGGCATAGTGGTTAAGCATTGCAAACTTTCTCTGGAAATATTCTTGTTTTCAACAAACTTCTAAATGTCATCCAGCTGATCTAATATCCATAAGGTGATTGCTCCTTAATAGTCTGCAATGTTTCCTATGGTTTTCAAGATCCACTTACTTAGGAGCAATGCAAGTATAGGAATACATCCATAAAAGAAGGTTCTACATACCTAGCCACCGCTTCCAGTTTATCAAATAAGTCCCCCTCCACCATTGAGATCTCATCGATGATCAGACAGCGGCAATTCAGCCATTGCTGTCGAACCCCAGGCCTCTGGGCCAGCTCAAGACACTGATGCAGAGGGGCCTTTCCTGACCCAATACCTACAAAAGGGAAATTAAGAGGGCATGACAGTGGCCTACCAGGCCCAAATTCTTTCCAACCTCTCTCTTCTCAGGATCTTTACCTGCAAAAGCATGGAGGGTGATGCCCCCAATCTGACAAGCTGCCACTCCTGTGCTGGCTGTGACATAAGTGCCATTTGGAGGAAACGAGGCCACTATCTTTTTCAGTAAATACGATTTTCCAGTTCCTTTGAAAACAAAAGTTAATTTTAGAGAAATTCAGCTCAATTCATTCAAGGTTGTTCATATTTTCCTCTCTACAATTTTTTTATTATTTAGGGAGTATTTAAACGGCAAGGACTGTATCACATTTCCTGTGCTTAGGTAGTGGTATTTAGGATGCAACACTGAGTCAGTTTAAAACAGAGCTCAGGGTTGAATGATGATCTCTGAGCTTGGTTATTTGCTTGCAGACATTTCATTACCAGATTAGGTAATATTATCAGTGCCAGTGAGAGTGGGGTATGCTTCCTGTTTATGTATAGTAGCTTGCCCCACCAGTCTTGGGTTTTTTCCCTTGATAGTTCCTTAATTAGGATATTGGTTTACAATACACAAATGCTTGGATTTAGGATTGTACACTATAGTCATTATAATCAAGGAACTACCAAGGAGAAAATGACAACCCCACCAACACCGGCAGGACAAACTACTGTATATAAACAGGGAGCAAGTGCTACACCGAGTAGCACTGATATTACCTGGTCAGGTAATGAAACATCTGTGAGCAGAAAACAAAGCCCAGAGATTACTAAGGATGCCATCGTTCAACCCAGAGCTACATTTATTCACGTCTATTGGAATCTTCTTTTTTTTTTTACTTGCAGCTTGACCTTAACACCATTTGCTCTTATTTTTTGGACTTTTTACTGACCAAAGTGATCTTCTGATTCATGAGTTTGACAATTAAGAAGGGCAGTTTATCTCGAAGAATTTCCACACACACAAAAATGAAAGTCATCTATTCATGCGCACTCAAAAGCAATCCCAAACCATTTAATTAAATCTCTTATGAATAATAGCAGTGGGAGTTCTATAGCTCAAACCCCCAACATAGTCATAGAAAACATGTGGGATTCCTGATCTGAAATGACTAATCACGCCCCCTTCCCACCCTTTTTCATTTACCAGCACTCCCTGTGAAGAAAACATTCTTTCCACTCAACACGGCATTCAGCACTCTTGACTGCTCCTGGGAAAGTGTTGCTCGAGGGCCCATCAACCAAGGCTTCTTCACCTGCTTTTCTTCAGTCATCTGGTGGGACAATCCATATTTAACTGACACCCCATTACATTTGAATCTCAGGAAATCAGAACTCATCATTATAGTGACTGCCATTAAAGGTTTACACTTTTATCTCTTTGCCAAAAAGGGAAGGAAAGAAAGTTCCTGACGAGGGAAGAGGAGTTGGGAGTATGGGGTCAGTTCTGGTGGAAACGGACGTACAAAACTCAACTTACAATCACAACTGAGCCCAACATTTCTGTTGTTAAGTGGAAAGTTTGTAAAGTGAGTTTCTCCCTATTTTACAACCTTTCTTACCAAAGTAAATTGCTGCCGTGGGTAAGTTAGTAACATGACTGTTAAGTGAATCTGGCTTACCCGTCAATTTTGCTTGTCAAAAGCTTGCAAAAGGTGTTCACATGACCTTGGGACACAAGTATGAACCCATTGCAAAGCATCTGAATGTCTGATCACATGATCATGAGGCTGCTAAAAAGGTCACTTTTTTCAGTGCCGTTGTAACTTTGACCAGTCACTAAATGAACTATTGTAAGTTGAGGACTACCTGTGTGTGTGTGTGTGTGTGTGTGTGTGTGTGTGTGTGTATGATGTATACATTCTATTTTATTTTTATTTCTTTCCACTTTCCTTTTTTTAAACTTTTCTTACGTTGTATTTTTTTTAAATCTTGTAAGCTTTAATAAAATTATTGGCAAAATCTATCTTCCCAACATATTATATCCTCTAGTCAACACAGTCAATGGCCTTCCTGGATGTGGGGAAAGCAACATCAGAGGGTATGACTCTCTGAGTGGTGGGATTCAATTGTTTTTTACTACTGGTTCTATGGGCGTAGCTTAGTGAGCCTGGCAGGGGAAGGATACGGTCAGTGTTCCAGAAAACTCTCTCCCCACTCCAGGGGTGTCATGCCCCTGGTGGAGACTGACTCTGAGAAAGCGGAGGAACAGCCAACAGGGAGTGGGAGTGTGGCTCCAGAGGTGGTAGAGGAGGCTGGGGAAGGGCAGAGGCCGGCTGAGCAATCAGAAGAGGATCTAGGCCCATGTCCTATCCATCCTAGGTCACGCAGGGAGGAGAGGATCAGGGAAAAGCGAGGTCTACTCAGGAGGAGATTACCATGATCCTCCTCGTGGCTTGCAGCTGGGAGTTATGTATATAAGTTTGTAACTGCGTAATCAGAATTGCTGGAGTGAAAGTTTAGTGTTTTTCTTTGAAAGAGGTTTATCTTTGCTGGCGTTCTTCCCATGGACTCTACTAGGTTATCTTCCTGGAATTTATGATTATCTTGGCTTGCTTCGGAACTCTCATCAATGCAGTTTGTTTTGGTTTCCTTTTTGCCTCATGATTTACTTTTGTGACTTTAAACTGTGCCTAATAAAACAGTGAAGTTAAGTTGAAGGCCTTACCGAACTTTAATGTATGTTTTGGGTTATTTTGAGAGACTACGGGTCATCACAAGGGGTAAGGATACTGCAAAATCTCCATTCCCTCCCCACCCCACTAACCTGCTTTCCAGCCCTCTTCTCCTGTGCAGAGCAACAACAGAAGACCCAGCCAATCAGTTGGGACACGGGAGGCAGAGAATCGATTGGGGGCAGGGCCAGTCAGAAGTGGTATTTGCAGTTTCTCCGAACTACTCAAAATTTCCACTCCCAGTTCTCCAGAACTGATCAGAACCTGCTGAATACCATCTTTGGACTCCCTGCATCTTTTCTTTAGGGCTTGGTACTACCTACTGATGCTTTAATAAGTGTCAGCAAATACCGTAGTTACCTTTTCAGGCAGAAGATAGCTTACCTGCCTCCCATCCACTGATTCCAAAGGACGCTTTCTAGAGCCGCAGAGCAGAGCCTGTCCTTTCGTCGGGGTGGCTGTCACGTTAGCCAGGGCTTCTCTGGCCTTTGCTTGTTGCAAATCGCGGGCTTGCACCGGGCTTACCGTGTCGAATGTGCGCGGCAAGCTAGACAGGAGCCTGGTCCGCTCAGCCACCGGCCGCCTTCCGTGCTGGGTAGCTTCAAATTTGATGCGCAGAGTCTGAACGAAGCGACGCAGGCGATCCGGTGGGCAGTTGGAGAGCAGCAGCTGCACGCAATCGGACCCCACGGGCCCCAACCGGATCGAGCTCTTCCCGTCCTTCACAAAACGTGTGAAGAGGCGCATTTCGTTCTGCCGCAAAGGGAAGTTCTGGAGGCAGCCTGGACCCGTCACCTGTAAGACCAGTTCGCGAAACTCATTCCGCCCGAGCGTGACCCAGGCATCCCGCAGGAGCCGCCGATTCGGGGCCGCCGCTGCCCCCAGGTGCTCCACGGCCACCGTGCAGCGGATCCTCCCGTCCAGCTCCGAGTCTTCCGCCGGTCGCATTCTGCGGGCTGAAGCCGAGAAGAGAGCAAGCAGACAAACATGACCAGGAGCGAGACCGACTAAAAGCCTGCGTCGGGCGCGGAACAGGCCCTCTTTAGCCCGCTGTCGACCGACCCGGGTTTTGAAAAAGGCATCCTCACGTTCAAGTCGCCTTTCTCCACCTCACTTGGGCTGGCAGGATTCAAATATTTTGCGACCGGCCGCAGCGACCAATCAGCATTTGGAGAAGCTTTAATTTTTTTCAGCCAATGAAAAGAGGAGAGGCGGAGTTAGAACTTCCCGGCTTCCGACGTTCTCGGTCCATAGCTGGGAGACCAAGAAAGCGACGCTCTCCGCCCCTGGATACGCTCCGCCCGGAGACGGCGTCGGTTCTGGAGCGATTGAAACAGCGATCCAAGTAACGCCGCATGGCTGGGATTAAAGGGGTGGCAAAGGAGCCACTGGACCCAGTAAGTCAGAACAAGATCTTCACGGAGACGGTCCGGAAGGAGCTGCGATGCCAGCGCCTGCACACCGAGTATGCGTTAAACCCGCTCCTGAAAGGTAGGTGGGCTGGAAGAAGGCAGTGTTTGTCCAATACAGGCAAGTGTCTCGACTTACACCAACGGTTCATTGAGTGACCCTTCAAAGTTACAAGGGCACTGGAAAAGTGACTTGGGGCGGTTTTTCACACTTAACGACCGTCGCAGCATCCCCCACGGTCCCATGTTCAAAATTCAGGTGCTTGGCCAGCGGTTCGTGTTTATGACAATTGCGATGTTCTGGGGGCATGTGATCAGCTTTTGCAACCTCCTAACAAAGTCAATAGGGAAGCCAGATGCACTTAACAACCACAATACGAACAATACTGGTGGGACCCAGAAGAAGGGCCTTCTCCGTGGTGGCTCCGTCTCTCTGGAACATCATTCCCCCAGAGATTAGAATGGCCCCCTCACTAATACTCTTCCGAAAGGCACTGAAGACCTGGTTTTGCTAGCACTCCTGGGGAACCCAGAGAGGGATGGAGCCCATCAGGTGGCTAGTGTGATCTGCTGTCGTCGGGGAGGAGGGTGGAAGTTAGTTATTGATTTTTTTTGTGGTTGTTTTGTTTTTTGTTTTCCCAAATTTTGTTCTATTGTACTTTACTAATGTATTTCTTTTTGTTAATTTTTATTGTTTTTATTTTTATTTGTTTTAAATATGGTTTTACATTGTGTAAGCTGCCTCGAGTCACCATGAGCAAATAGGCGGCAATATAAATTAAATAAATAAACTGCAGTGATTAGCTTAACAACTGTGGCAAGAGAAATGTTTTACTTAGCAACCTAAATTTTGGGCTCAGTTGCTGTAGTAACTCGACTACCTGTATTGCTCCCTTTCCTTTCCTTTTTGTAAACCTATCCTTGCCATTGAATGTAATCAACGCCTGATGTAGGCGCTACTCGCAAAGAGAATGGGATGAAACAATGATAAAGACCTGGTTGAAATCATTGATTCTCTATGCATGTTTTTGGTTCTGCAAAAGTCAGCATTTCAAACTAAATGTTACCCAAAATGTCCCCAAAGAAATCAAGGTAAGGAGAAAATATTAACTTGTCTCATTCTCTTACGGTAGTCTAAAGCGAAGTTTAAGAGTGCCTTAATTTGAAGATCAGCAATAGCTAATTTCATAATCTTGCTTTTGCCTTCCAGTTCATGCCTTAACTGGGAAACCTGCCTCTTGGCATGATAACTTAGAGGAACCTGCAGATGGTAAGGCACTGTTAACAATACATTTTTTTCAAACTGCAGTTTATTATGGATGGATGCCACTGATATTTTATTATGGTGGGTTGCATAGTGAGCCAGATGTTTAGACTGGTATTAGTATTACTATCCATTCAGGAAAATCACAGCTGAGGTTTTTAATTGATGTTTGCAATTTTTCCCTAAGCACCTAAAACAGGGGTGTCAAACTCATGGCCCACGGGCCGAATAGGATTTATTGTCGTTGCATTCAAAATACAATAAAATTTGAAAGCTACTCCAGCACAGTGGCCCAAACACCACATCACAATCACACTACACAGTATTTAAAAATTAAAATAATTAAAGTAATAATTAAAAACCTAGTCTAAAACCTATTTAAAACACATGGTTAGTTTAAAAATGCCACTTTATATATAGAACTAAATCACAAATGTACTGTTTGATTCGAGACAATTATTGCCTTGGAAAAGAAACTGTTTCTCAGTCTATTAGTCCTCATTTTAAGACACCTATAATGTCTCCCTGATAATAACAATTCGAAATATAATGACCAGGATAAGAATGATCTGTGGAGATTTTTAGTGATCTAGAGAGGAGTCTGGTCTTTGCAATCTCTTCCAAAGAAGAGAGCAACCAAAGATTTTTTGTGCTGTGTTTATAACTCTCTGGTTATATGCGTCACAAGCTGGCCCTGCCTCCGCCCAGTTTAGCAAAGGAGAAAAAAATCCCAATACCTCACATGATGCCGCCGTGACATGAGCTTGACACCTGTAGAATGTCATTTTATTATTATGGTTCATAACAGTTGGACAGATGTTCAGATTGGATCTGACATATTTGTCTGCCTATCAAGCCCTTCCCAAGGACCTGGGATAGGCAGCGTGGATGTTTGGTGATGTTACAGACATCGTCATAGGATGTAAGCTGTCCCAAGTAAAGCTACCTTTTCCAATTAACTATGGTGAATTTGTCAATGCCGTTGGTGTTCAAGTGGTGCTCCAGTTGCTTTGGGATTGCACCCAAGTTACCTATTACTACTGGTACTACTTTTGCTTTCTTAAAGTTCAGAAAGCGCTTACATATCCTGCCTTTAAAATGATGCCATCAAATTTGGCTTCAGCCCTTTTATTCACACAAGCCCATCATACTATTCCCTTTTGGGTTAACTAACACTGTGTAAAATTCTGCAAATAAATTAGGGCATGAGGGAAGAGAATAAAAAAGGAAATATACGGCAATTAAATCTAGTTTGTAGGATCCAATCTGGGTTGATCACTGGGACCAGAGGTTTAGTCTTCCAAGCTTTCAGCCTTGTGCTGGAGCCCATCCTCAGGGAATTTCTCTCTCATTAGAATATGAAACAAAACATATTCAAACAAATAAAAATCTAAAAGTACTCTAAAACAAAAAGTGTGCACTTTAGATGGGTGTAAAGGTTGCTTCTTGACCAAGATCAAGTGTAGGACTTTTTTCCCCACATTTTCAAAAGAAGTATCTTCTGCCATTACATTTTGTATTCACTTCTGTATTTCTATAAATTATGCAAAGTATTATCTAAAACTAACAGCCGGGTGGAAGATTTCCTGGAATTGCAAGGGAACCAGATGCCAAACAAAATCTAGGGCAAAACCTAGATCAGAATGAGGAACCATGATACAAAAATATGAGCATGTTACTAGGCAAAAATTATTCATGATCTACAATCTTGCATTAAATAAAGGAAAAGGTTAACTGCATGGTTTCACATTTAAGTATTATGCTTCTGTCAATTCAGCACACACAAACAGAATGTCTGGCAGTTTTGCTTCATTAAACATACAAGATATAAATGCCTGCCAAAGCTGCCTAGCTTTTCCTCCAGAAAGAACCATTAAAGCAATTTAATAAACTAAAATTTTGTACGTTTGGTGTTCTATTTAATGTCAGTCATCTTGTGACTGCATTTCTTGACTAGCATCATATACTGTATATTCCAAAGAAAGAACAACTTAATACTGGATAACAGACCTGTAAGTTATGCAAACCAAAACACCATTAAATGATCAATAGAACTATTTACATAACTCTTAAGTAATCTAGTTCCACACTTTTACTATTTCACACCCGCCCAATTGAAACTACCTAATAGTTACTGTCAATGTTTTAACCCAACAGCTAAATTCCTACAGCTTTTTCATCATGCTGCACTTGAGCCACCCAAGAAATACACAGAACCACAAACTGAAAGTCAGGAAATTGGTTGGTTTTCCACACCATTGGTAAGTAGGATTTCAGGGAAAGCTAAATATTGTGGGACGAGTGCCACTCCCAAGTTTTGAAGTACTGTCATGATTAAGATGAGCCTTCCCAGGAAGAAGATACCATTCTGGAACATTAGAATCATGAGGAAAGCCTTCAAAGGGTTCAGGTAGCATCAAATGGGTTGTCAGATGAGAGGGAGTTATACTGAAGCATCCAACACTTTGTTCCTTCTTTTATTTCAGTGCTCTTATGTTATAATCATATTCTCTTTCACAGATCAGTATCAACCGGAACGATAAGAGGCTGCACTTCCCAAGTCGGAGCACTGAAATCAGTAGGTACATGGCTGCTCTGTGGCGCCTGAAGGAGATGACCAAAAGCAAATAAGCACATAGTAACATCATGAGCTCTTACTGTGAAGATGTCAAGCTTTCATTTAGGATTTTTGCCCTGCAAGGTTATCATCTTGTCACTGTTGTTGGTTATTTTAAGAAAAGAAGCTGTCTTGCTCTTTGAACTTTTAGCAGTTTTTGCAATAAACTTGTCCCCAAATTGTGTGTGTTTCATAAGATACCTAGGCAATGAATTTCTCATCCATAACTATGCCATCTCTCCCAGTACTTATATGCATGAGTGATTAACGCACAATTCATGATACTCAAAGAGAGGGAGCAATCAACTGCCATTTTGTGAAGGAATCAATGAAGTGGCCAAACACAAGCACTACTGCCATACTATCATTACTTTGCAGGCTATCATTGCTTTTTCATGATAGGCAAAGAACTGAAGGACTCTGGCATCCTCCCCAAATATCCCAGTATGCATCTTTCCAAACCTAAAGAAGGAGGATCAAACCATCATCACTTTTTAATTAACTTAAGAATTTTCAAAGTAGTCTGAAATGAAAGGCAACAAAAAGCATCTGTTTGCTATTTGTGTGTGAATCAAACAAAAACATTTGCCATTCTACAGCACACCCATAACCAGGAAAGTTCAAGTCCCATATCTGTTCATGGTTATATGCTGGGCTCAAAATGTCATTCCATTTCCAATCTTTATCACGAACGGCTCTTAATTTTCTGCCTCATCTTTTTGCCAGGCCTCTTCTGAAAAGAGAGGAGAAAAATATAGAATTCACTAGTCTTATCAGCATACTCACATATGCTCCTCTAATGATCTAATTGTAGCATGTAATAACTCAACTGTAACTTACTTTGGCACCCCTTTTCCCTGCTTTGCCACTTCCCTTGTTGTGGGCTTTGCTAGCACGGAAGCTGGACACATCATTGTAGCTTTCCTTGGTGTTCCATTTGGACCCTTTCTTTCTGCCACCAAAGCCAAATTTCTGATTCTTGTAACGTCTTTTTGCATTTGGTCTGAAAGAAAAGACTTATGTCAGTCACGATTAGGTATTCCTACAAATTAAAAAAAAAACTACAGATATTTGGGGGCCCATACATGTTCTGTTTCTTCAAAATAGCCAAATATTACACTTTTTGTCAGACTCTGTTTCAATAAACATTCCTCTTAATTTCGGGAATGCAAGTCTTAAAACGTTCATATTTATGATAGAATTCCTTTTAGCTGATTTTACACATAATGCTCACTCCTTTGTTTCATTCAGTTACTGAGTCTTCTAAAAGTCACTTGAGTGTGTGACAGTCCCCCAAATAAAGAAATTGCGCCACAGAAATTCTAACATTTCTTGGTGGATCAACTTTTGATCTTGGTTGTGTGGACAGCCATTTATATGAAATGGCATAGACCAGAGGTAACTTTAAGACAGCACGGTTGGCTGGGAAAGTCTGGGAGTTGAAGTCCACAAGTCTTATAATTGCCAAGGTTGAAGACCCCTGGTATAGACTCCCCTGCTCGTGTAGGGAGTTGGACTAGATGACCTCCAAGATCCCTTCCAACTCTTCTATTTTATTCCATTCCATTCTATTACAAAAGACTCAAATTCAGAACGAAGATGCACTTTAGTCTCACCCCTTCTTTATTGGCTGCCTCTCTGTTCCTTCCTTCTTCTGAGGCTCAGATGATTTTTCACCTTCCAGGAATTCCAGCTTGTCCAAGAGACCTTACATGAAATAAGGAAGAAGTAGGAGGCTACAACCTTCTGGCACTCTTAAACTTTGATTCCCAATGTTCTGGAATATTTTATGCATATCGAACCAAATTTAAAGAAAGTCATTCTATGGTTATCTTAACATAAAGAAGCATTTACTTTTTCGAAAGTCCCAAATACATCCAATCACTGACTACCAAATGACAACATCAGGCTTGTTGAATCTGCAGTGGTCTTACTGGATTCCTAAATCTATCAACCAGAAAATGGATAAGACAGTATTCTGAGGTGAGCATCTCTGAATCTGGTAGTTTGCTTTCAGTTCATAAGCCAATTATTCACAAAATAGCCACTCTTCTGTCCTCAAATTTTCTTTTATTTCAGCTGTCCTTATGAAAAGGTCAGCTGACTGATGCAGTTATTAAACAAGCCTTACAGAGCCACTGAAATCTGTCAGTGGTTATGATCCATATTCTACTCTTTTTTGTAGTGAATCAATACAATGAAGAAAAGTAGGCAAAAAGAGAAAGTCTGTAGAAAATTGTCAAAGAAAAACTATGAACAAGAGACCATGGGGGATCCCTTATTGGCTAACAGGTGCTGCTTGTCCAGTTGCAAATATGAAACTGTTACAGAAAGGCATATGTTACCAATATATTGTTGGTTCGATGAGTCAGCCACAGCAGACTATTTACTGGCACAACAAGCCTTTATTAGGCAGCTGATGCTGAGACTCATGTTTTCTTGTTATCACAGCTTCTTACTCCTTTTCTAAAATTGAGAGGTGGGAAGGAAGTGACTCACCCTTCTGATATTTTTTGACTGCATTTAACATTGTGGACTTCTCCTTCTGTCTCTTCTGCAACACGTCAATTTGAACCTATCAACAAGAAATCAAACATGAGCCTTGCTCTCATTTGTACCTGAACTTTTCCAAAATGTTCCAATTTTATGGATTTTCAGATACATATGGTTCTCATACTGCCTGTGAGGAATCCTATCAGTTGACTGAAAATCTTCCAAGCAAAACAGTTTGAATTGAAACGATTTTTGTCATTCAATTGCAAGGCACTCCTTACCTGCTTGCCATATTTTCTTAGGGCCCGGAGTTGTTTGGCCTTTTCAGACTTTTCCATGGCTTCTTTTTTGCTCTTCAGCTTTTCACGAATCTAATGCAAAAGAATATGGTTTTTTTTTTTTTAGCAAATGGAAGAATACTCCTACTGTTTATACATTCAGGTTTTTGTAACAATACTACAGCATTTTAAATATGTCATTAAATTTTATCATCACTTTACATCTTCAGAGCCTATTCTGACAAGGTTCCCCAGCATTTCACATTAGGCAAGATAGCCATGTCAAAATACGTATCCAACCATAACACATAATAGTCAAAGCAAAAGCTATTTCAGGCACACAAATGCACATTCAATGCCCAAATGTATTATAAATTTAGATGGCAACTTTCACTAACTTAAGGACCACTCTGGACTTACACTGCATATTATTCCAAAAGTGAGTAGAGCCAGGTCCCAAAGTAGGAGGTGGAGAAGATATAACTTAATTTTAATCTTTTTTTAAAAATGATAATAAAATAAAAACTGCAGCCTTTTTCTTTATAAGGATCATTCTAGGATTGAATCCCCTTTTGGGGGGTAGAAATCTCCTCTAAAAAAACTTTAGTATTTGCTGCCTTGAATTACTTATAAAATAGTAACAGTGAGATAAGTGTCTATAAATAAAAACTAAATGGATGTTTCAAAGGGGGGGGGGAGAACTCCCCACAGGGGAAAAAAATCAGCCTGAATTATAAGGGGGAGATGAAGAAATGAGATAGGTTTCATTTATTAAAATTTATAACGCACCAAAGTTTCCAAGACTTCAGGAAGCTCAGATAAAAGTTGATAAAAATACAAAAGCGTGAACACAAACATTAATAATAATCTAATTAATTAATAATCTAACATATTGTGAAAACTAAACATTATTTTTACATATCTGTTTCCTGTTTTTTCCAGTAGATGTTCACTTGTTTTATTTTATATATTCACTGTACATATACATACACACAGACACATACAATTGAAAGATAAGTAGAAGATTAAAAGCTATGGAATCAATAAAAGACCAAAAGGCACAAGATTAATTTTAATATTGATACTAAGGAGGATTCAGCATTAAATGGTAATTATATGATATAATTCCATAGAAGTAATAAAAACTAATAATTTATTCTGTATGTTCTAAAGAGGAATTTAGAGAAGTAGAAATACAACTCCAATAGTAAATTCCTATTAATATTCTGTGCTAAAAGAATAAACAGCATATCTCAAAATAACTAAAGAACAATACAGGTCTATGTCCTATTGGTCCCAAATCTTTCACTAATAATGAAGGAAGAGCACTGCAGGATAGCAATAGGTATCCTGTACGTAGTAATAGGCCCTTCTATATTGCAGGATTTTTAATAGGCCCTTCTATATTGCAGAACTTTTAGTTGCATAGGTTATGCTACAGTATATAACATTGACTATTAGTTATATGAAGATTAGGAGGCTTAATGTTACTCTTGTCAATTACGTAAACATACCACATTATTCCCATTTCTACAGTCCTGTGCAAGCTTTGAAACCAGTATCTTCAAATTCTAGAACAGATGTGACACAAGTTTCTCTCCAACAGAACAACACTCATTAATAATGACAGCTGGAAGAGGTGTGAAATTGAAGACCTATAAATCTTACTTTTTGCATCTGCTGATCAGATTTTGCCATCTCTGCAAAATAGTCATCAGGCCGCCTTGTGGGGATTTTAAACTGATGTAACCGAGGTAATGCTTCCAGAACAGAGGCTTGGGCTTGATGATAACTGAGGAAATCAGAATCAACATTACTATTTCTAATCAGTGGCTAAATATTCCAAAAATTTCAGGATTTGTGATCTATTAAACATATGCTTCACTGAAATAAAAAATATCTAGTCTAGCTACCCTTTCAAGCTGAGATCATTACTGCTATGGAGGCACTCAAGAGATAAGCTTTTTAATATGCATTGTCAAACAACTGCAACTATACAAATAGTGTCAATACGCTAATAAGTTGTTACATGTATGCAGTGGGAAGTAAAATAACTGATTATTAATATCATAGCAACATATAGCTTATAGTATGGTGGACCAGCTAACACACATTATTAAGCTATATTACTTTTGTTTCTTACATAAGAATCCATTCATTATGGATTAGTACCCTATGTAGACCTGTCCTAGTACTTCATGTGAACTCAAACTGTATCATCTATTGTGCAGGAGAATAAAACAAAGACTGCATATAAGACTCACAGCATAAGAAAATCTTTTGCCTCATATACTAAGACTTACAAGTTCATTTCTCTTTTAAAGTCATCTTCAGGATCAACAGAACCTTTTTCAACTGTGTTCTTGGAAGCTGCACCAGTGACATTTGTTTCCAGCGGAGAGGTAATATCAAGCCTTTCGACCCAGGAGAGATTTCTTTGGAATTCAGACAAGCACCGTTTCAATCCATCCTAGGAAGATCATATTAATTCTACATAACCTCAATGCTTAGATGTTTCTCCATATCAGTTATCTACTGTACAGAATGGTTGCAGATGATATTCATTTTAAAGCAAGCAACAAGATTTTGCACTAACACATCAATTTCTCTCAAAAAGCCAGATTCCAGCTACATGCCCATCAAACAAAATGTGCAATATTTAAAGATTCTTTAAAAATCCAATGAATGTCAGGTATTCTGGGTTTAAGATCTTCCTAAGAAAGATCTACATAGAAAACGTAATCCTTTGTTACACTGGCAACATAAACAAAAGTTGCTCAATAAGTCTCTCCTCACATTACATTCGTATTACACGTTCATATTACGTTCATACCACAGTATAGTACATCCGTAATATACTAAACTGAAAACACTGTACCTTTACAAATGGAGTGTTTACTTGCCAATATTTCTAACCTTTTTATCCCCAAAATCAAGGAACTAAAGCTTGTAACCAATTAACAATGTCTAATCTAAAAGGTTGGACCCATCAAGCTGTCAGATAAATGGACCAAACCCTTGAATGCTTGGTGTTGGATTTAGAATTCCAATTTGGTGTACTACAAGGCTGATGTTTAAAAATGTGAGGTAAATGTTGAGTTGTTCACAAACAACCAAAAAAGTTCAAGCAACGGATATCACAGTACTTACCACATTATTAAATGCTTTTGGTCGTCCCTCCAACACAATATTTAAGCCTGGTTTCAATGAACCTTTAGCAAATGCTTCTTGAAGCTACATTGAAAAAAGGTAACATTTATGTTAGCACGTTAACATAATTATATTAATTACATTAAATAATTAAATTATATTATAATTTATAAATTATGTTATTAAATTAATATATACAAGTATAAAACTGATCCCATTAATAGAAGTGAGCATGTGACATCAAAGCACATAAATGAGCATCCAATGGAAAGGAATAATCTGGTCAGTGAGTTCTAAGTTTCAGCATTTATCCTGATGCCACATGACCACTTCTGGTTTAGATTAGATACTATTTTATGTATTGCACTGTGCAATTCTTAAGTGTGGCACTACTGTCAGTAATACTATCATTAATCCAGTTAGTACGAAAACCTAAATTCACTATACTTTCAGGCATAGTCCTTTATCCTATTTGGGATAACAGACTATTTTAATTATTACTAAGATAATATAGCCTCATCAAGTGACAACAATTGGCCAACCTTGTCTGGCCTCAGGCCCTAAAAAAGGGTAAGATTACAGGGAGACAATCAAGGAATTCTATGGTTGCAGGTACATTCCTGCAGAAAGACAATGGCAAACCACTTCTATACCCATGCATGGTTGAGTTTATGTAGTCATCATAGGTTAAGTTCCAGTCAAGAATATCATTACCTTAATACAATATAGCAAGTCACGATAAGACAAAAATGGAAACGTGCATAGTTACACCCTAACACAATTACCACAGACATTGGTATGCACAGTACTTGCATACCAAAGTCTAACTGCCTGCTATCTCCCTTACAGATGTCCCAAAGATGCTTTTTTCAGGAGGCAACTGAACTTTCTTGTTTTTTCTTTTGAAGACATTTCATTTCTCATCCAAGAAGCTTCTTCAGCTCTGACTGGATAGTGGGGAATGGAATGATTTATATTCCTTGCAGACAGCTGGTCATTTGCATCCTTTCAGAGGAACTTCGAAGCACTTGGAGGTTTATATTGGACACAGATAAACCTCCAAGTGCTTCAACCATCTAAAAGGATGCAAATTATTTTGGAGGTTTTCTAGTCCAACTCCCTGCTCAGGCAGGAAATCCAAACTATTTCAGGAAAATGGTTATCCAATCTCTTCTTAAAAACCTCCAAAGCACTGCTCCCAAACAGCAGTCTCCATATCAGCCTATGCATTTATCAATTCACACAAGATCATTTAAAATTCAGCTTAAATGTTAGTTTCGTTTCTTTAGTTTATACACTACTAGAATATTGGGGTATTTCTCAGGTGCCAAACATACCTCTTGATCTGCTATAACAGATTCTTCAGAATCAGAGGATAATGACAATTCTTGCTCCATAGCTATGGGAGGCATCTTAGACTACTTTTTGAGATGTTTGGATTTTGCCTCCAATCTATATCAAAACCAAGAAAATAATCAGACAACATACTGCAAATTCAAGGCCATGGACAAATTCAAAATTGGACTGCTAACTTCATCCTTCCCTCAGCAAGGCACATACAATGTTAATTGATGAGGTTTTTCCATCCCATACTTAAGCTCTACTAAATTAGGAGCTATTATGCATCAACTTTTAACATAACTGTATACATGAAATACAACATGAATGACAATGTTAATGTAACCTGTAAAGTCTTTGTCAAATACAATTCTGTACATGGCCTATTACATTTGACACCTGGACTCTTTTAAAATAAAGATTCTACACTCTTTAACTATGATTATGCTTTATCAAACAGATCTCTCAGCTCATCTAAAACCCAATTTAATAGTTAAAAATAAGTTTTAAAATGTACTAAAGTGTTTAACTATCGTCACTTTGCTTTATATTTGTTTTAATCCAAGCCTCTATATACGGAACTTTATCTTAAATGCGAAGATATTCCATGTAATATCGGTATTTTGTAATTTCCATCTTTTTTTTTGCTTTTAAAATAAACAAAATATAAAACATGATAAGCTACAGCCTATTGAATGTCCAATTACCCCCCTCTCTCCAATTATTAATTTTGCATTAAACCGAATCTAAAATTCCTTCCAGATTTCCATTCTTCGGAATCCACTCCATAAACCATCCGCTTTTTAAAAAATCGATACGGTCCCCATTTTAAATTAGCTATGATCGATGCTTTTATGTCTGTGAGCTTTAGATGTCTCTGTTTAAATTTCTAAAGGCGTCCTACTCACTTTGATCAACCGATCCCCGGTTAATTCACCTTAGCCCGAAAACCCTTTCAGCCATCCGGCTTCTCGTTCACCACGAGGAATTGTTTAAAAAAAAAAGGCACTTCCGCTTTCCGTGGTCGTTCCATCTATTTCCGGTTCCGCTCCGCCAAATTGTCAGCCTTGTCCTGGGGACGCTGTCGCCATGGAAACCCCTTCTCTTCCGTCGTACTTTGCCTTACGGGAGCATCTTCTTGGTAGCAGTTGGTAGCAATTTTTGAAAACGGATCGGAGCGAGCAACGAACCGAAAGAGCGAGACCGCCGAGAGTAGCCGAAGAGCCCGGTCCCAGGGAAGCTGCCCGTGAAGGGAGCCACTCGGCTCTTCCTAATAAATCCTCTCCCGTTTGTCTCTCTTCTTTCTAAGCCGGCTGTCTGAATTCAGTCGCGATGTCAGTGATTGTGGCTCAGGCTCTCCACATCTTTGGGTTCCAGTCCCGAGTAGCAAATAATATTTGTTTTTTTGATGAGCAGATAATAGTCTACCCCGCGGGAAATAGCTGTGTGAAATACCACATAGAACAGAAATGGCAGAAGTTCATCCCAGGTAAATTAGCCTACCTCCCCCTCCCCCCCCCCCCCCTATCATTTCTGATTCCGATACAAGAAGTGGAAACCCAAAGGTGCTTTTTCAAGAGGCAACTGGACTTTCTGTTTTTTCTTTGAAAAGTTCTCATCCAAGAAGCTTCTTCAGCTCTGAAGGGGAAAGTTGAGATCCTCTCTGGTCTACACCCTCAAAACTGTTTCCTTTGACTATAATACTCTTACAAATAGATGATAGTTCTTATATATTCTTTGTTGTTCTCTCTTCACTTGCAGGATTTAAATACAGGTAGTCCTCAATTTACAACAGTCCGTTTAGTGACTGCTCAAAATTACAGTGGCACTGAACAATGTGATTAATGACCGTTTTTCACAGTCATGACCTTTGCAGCGTCCCCAAAATTCAGATGAACCAGGCAACTGGTTCATATTTATGACCATTACTGCATCCCAAAGTCATGTGATCACCTTTTGATAACTTCTTACAAAGAAAGTTAATGGGGAAGCCAGATTGACTTAGCAACCGGCTTACTCACTTACCAGTTGCAGTGATTCACTTAATCACTGTGGCAGGAAAGGTCATAAAATAGGACAAAACTCACTTAACAAATGTCTCAACATAAATTTTGGGCTCAGTTGTGGTCGTAAGTCAAAGACTACCTATACGTACAAGATCATACCCTTTAAAAAATTTTAAATTATGTATAGTGAGAAGTGCAATGTTAGTTGGTCTGAGAGAAATTGATTGGCTTAAAGTCACCCAGTGAGTTTTTATGGAAGAGAATAGATTACAATCTGGGTCTCCAACCTTATAATTCAACACATTAATCATACTGGCTCTCATAAGTAGCATATTGATATAACATTTTGGGGGGAAGACAGCTATTTTACATTATGCATTCTTTCCAAATGTGAGGTACAAAGTTTGTTTTTGCTACTCTGCTCTTTTATCATCAGTGCTGACAAACAAAATGCAATAGTTTCTTTGTCTTTTACAATATACTTTCCAGGTTAAATAAAAATATAGGCAATATGAGCTTCCAATTTACTTTTTAATATTTACTAAGCTTTGGCTTTTCTTTAATGTTCTCAGGATTGGATGCTTTTCCTTCTGTTTATCTTCTGTTTACTGTCACAGATGAATAATTATTTATTGGAAATATTTACATTCTTAAAACTTAGGTTTAAATTAGCATAGTTCAATACTGTAAATAAAGTTGTTAGATCTGTGTATAATATGATGGTTTAAAACCTGTATGAATTCAGTTTTCTTTTAAATATGTCAAGAAGGACAGGAGAAATTGTTTGAGACTAACCAATTCAATTCACTTGAGTCATGTGAATTGCAAGGCAGTAGAGTTAAATCTAATGAGGCAGTGACTTTCATGATCACAGTTAAATATGCCAATGATGACCAAGTAAATCAAGAACTCCGTCAACAATATTATCCTTATTATAGAACTAATATCATTGTGATGAATATTATTGTAAACATTTTGATTATGATTTCCTAAGAGTAATTGTACCCACACAAAACATTGTTTCATTAAAATTGAATTTTTACATGTTATATAAATAATAAAAAAAACAAAAATTTTGGAGAAAAAAAAAGGAATTCTGTTGACAGTTTCCTCTCTCTATTATAATGCAGAACTAGCACTTAAGCATTTTATGGATTTCTCATAAATTACTTAATTGCATTATTACTTGGAGATATATTAAAGTTTTTATCAGAAAATCAGGTGATTTATGTGGATAACTATAATATTGTAATTTGGTGCCATTTTTTCCTAATCAAAATTTAACATTATGATGTTAAGCTTACAGGAATTTTGTATTTTTGTGTGTGTACTATGTAGGCTCAGAAAAAAGCCAAGGGATGCTTGCACTAGCAATAAGTCCCAATCGACGCTATCTGGCCATTTCAGAGACACTTCAAGATAAACCAGCTATCACAATTTATGAACTATCATCTGTTCCATGCAAGAAGCGGAAGATTCTGAATACTTTTGATTTTCCTGTGCAGGAATTTATCAGCCTGGCTTTTTCTCCTGATTCCAAATATTTAGTAGCACAGGCAGGACCTCCTGAATCACAGCTTGCTTATTGGATGTGGGAAAAACAAAGAACAATGGCAATTATTAGGGTTGATGTTCAGAATAATCCTCTTCATCAAGTAAGCTGAAGATAAGTAATATGTTGGGAACAATTAAGTGTCAATAATTAAGTTGGCCCTCTGGATACATTATTTAAAAAAAATCTATTACTGTACAGATAGTTTCAGTGTGCAATTCAATTATCTCTATTCTGTATTTGTCTTGCGACATTGTTATAAATAAATTAATTTGATGTTAATGACATTACTATTTTAAAAAGGAACAATTACCAAGGCAAAGGTGGGTTGAACTATTTTTGGGTCCAGAACCATGAGTTAACATCCAGAAATGATTCAGTTAAGATACCAGTACTTTCCTAATTCAGTGGAGAATAAGGAGGAAGGGGCACTGAATAATTACATCTGCAAGATTTTGTTAACTTAGTCAATCCCAATTAAAATAAGTTTAGTCTTCCTGTGGATTTCTTGGTCTGGGCTGCAGAGTAAGGTTAACATATGCATATGTGCACACTAAATATAATAGAATTGTGTTGCCCTTGATTTTAATGAATTAAATCAATTAGTTGAATTGCACATACAATAATAATTATCAAATGATCTTGCATGTATGTTTCTTTTCAGGTGAGCTTCAATCCTCAGGATAATACTCAAGTCTGTGTCATAGGAAATGGTATTTTCAAGCTATACAAATATACAGAAGGATCCTTAAAGCAGACCAATTTCTTACGGGGAGAGCCCCAAAACTACTTGTCCCATGCCTGGCTGTCTGAAGAGAAAGTGATTGTGGGTACTGATACAGGCAAACTCTATTTATTTGATTCTGGTGATTTACGGTGGGAGACAAGTATTGAGCGGAAAGAACCAACCACTGAAATGTTGAATGAAGAACCAGTTCTAGAATCAGAAAGGTGAGTTTTCTGCAAATTGTTTAATCAAAGATAAAAACATAAGCATGCTTCAACAATTGGACTAGGTTTCCAGTTTCTGATAAAGCTATATTATGATTATTATTGTACAATGACCATGATCAAGTTATTATCTCTGAATATTTTAAAGATATCATTAAACGTTTGCTTCTAGGAAATGTTCTATTTTAAATGTACTAAATTCCAATCTTGGGTTTGTAAAATATGTTTATTCAGAAAATAAGCCATTACTTAAAATCTTAGAAATGTATACAACATAGCAACTTTAAAATCACATATTGGGAAGACAACTATCTTAAAGTAAAGGGGAGCACAATATGTTCTTTTTTACACACTGCACAACACATATTTGAAATGCTTAACAATTCCGGCTCTTTGTCTCATTTACTTTTCAAGCCTCATTGAATTTCCTTTTACAAATTCCCCTGAGTACTCTACTGAGGCAGTTTCTGAAGCTGAAGGGCAGCAGCAAGCCTCTCTGCCCCGAGTTTCTGCTATTGCTGCATATTCCAAGGGATTTGCTTGCTCTGCTGGTCCGGGTATTGTTTTACTGTTTGAGAAGTCAGATGAGAAGGATGGTTACCGAGAAAGTCGAGAGATTCGGGTACGTAAAACTTATGAAAGGTGCAATCCTTCATTTTGTTACTATGAAATACTATTTCCCAGACCAGAGTGTAACAGCTAATAAGACTGATGCTTGGAAAGAAAAGAGTGAGAGGGATGCTGCCAAGCCAAACAAAAGATATACTACTATAGGGTTGATCGTGACAAAGTTGTTATATAATTGTCTATGAAGATTCTCAGTTATTCAGGTAATGGTTGTCCCAAAGGTGCTTTTTCAAGACGCAACTGGACTTTTTGGTTTTTCTTTGAAGATGTTTTGCTTCTCATCCAAGAAGCTTCTTCAACTCTGAGCTTCTTGGATGAGAAGCGAAATGTCTTCAAAGAAAAACCAGAAAATCCAGTTGCCTCTTGAAAAAGCCCCTTTGTTATGTAATCCTCTCACCTAGTTCGGGTCCAACATATATGGTTTAGCATAGGACCACAATCGGAGAAAACTGTTCCGCTTGTTTGTAGCACAAATGAATTGTGCACTGTGATTATTGGTCATCCCATAGGGATCAATATTCAAGTTTTAAATATGGTGGTGCAGTAGTCAGAATACAGTACTGCAAGCAAACTCTGCCTAATGTCTAGAGTTCAATCCTGACAGGATTCAAGCTTGACATTGCTTCCATCCTTCTGAGGTCAGTAAATGAGGACCCAGATTGTTGGAGACTGACATAGTAAACTGCCTAGAGAATGCTGAAAGGCACTGTGGGATAGTATATAAATCTAAGTGTTATTGCTATTTATGATGTGTTTTTAATTACTATTTTTCTACAGAATTGCTGGCATATATTTAAGGAAACAAAGTCTAACATGGTTGTGTTATATTATAGATTTCACAAGATCCATGCAGCAGTGATCCACACCAATCAGATAAACAAGAGATTGTGTGTATTGCCTTCAGTCCTGCAGAAGAGACACTTCTCATCAGCACAAATAAAAATCAGGTGTATTATCTCTCTATGTCATCAGCTGAGTTAACTAAAGTAAGTTATCTCAGAGCCCCACTCTGAGGGAGGTGATTTGGAAATATAAATAAATAATAAATTCATTCCAAACAATGAAAAAAGGTACCATACAGGCAACATTTTAAAAAATGTATTTCTGCAATGTAGAAAACACTCTTAATAAGTGTGCATCAGACACATGGTTGAGTTAAAATATTATTCACCACACTTTCAGTCAGCAGAACATTTGCTGCCCCCACTAAAGATCCCTATCCTGTTACAGGTATTGTACTAACAAATATAATTACAGTGTCCTGGGCACATTAAGGAAGTCTCCACAGATTTCTCTCCCATCCCACTAAGTATTACCAGCAGAAAACTATCCACCAATCACTCCTTAATATGGAATGAGGTTAGGGCAAGAGGCAACTTTTGAAAAACTTTTTAAAGAAGATCAGAAATTCAGGTAATTGGCAGTATAACAATATAAGTAGCTCTTTACAATCTAGAAATTGGGGCATATTGTTTTGTTCATACACCTGCATTTTATTTCTGAATTCAGATTAAATTGCTAGTTCTTGTCTTTAAAACTTTAAACATTTTGAACTGGAGTCATTCATTCTTAATAGATTCCAGTTTAAGATCGACAGCTCTCCAATATAAGAACAGATTGGCAGGTATCCATGACCAGACTTTTCGATAGGATTGTTATGCAATATGCTTTCTGCTTGAACTTCTATTAGGATTCCTTTTAATACTGTGCTTGGATATTTGTTGTAAACCTTTTTCTTTTCATTTTGAGTAAATTCATCTGTTTAAAACATGCAGCTATTTTAGAAGTGGCTGTTTCTCGCTAAGTTATTTGAGAGTAGTTTGTCTAGATTCAGGTACAAGTCTCCTTCAAATCAACCTGGTGACTTTACAGACATGCCCATGTGGTTTTCCTGGCAAAGGGGTAGAAATGGTTTGGCATTATTTTGCTTTTTTTAAGGATATTTACTTCCCTCATACAACAAGTCCTGGAATTTCCCAGAGGTGCCCCACCAAGATTTGATCCTGGACTTAGTAACTAAGGCTTAGCTATCCGCTGAAGCACATTGCTATTATCTCTTTGTTTTCTCCTTTTTGATGTTAATTAAAAGCTAAGGTTATTGCACAATTTTGTTCTGATAGATCTGGTGTATATTTAATCCCATTGAGAATGGTTGGTAGATTTAGTGTTAGACTATCATATAAGTATTTGTTCGATAACACATATCATGTTTCATAAGGGAGAGACGGCTCATTTTGAATACCTGAATTTCCCAATACACTCTTCTGCTGTTACTGGCTTGGATACCTGCATTCGCAAACCACTTGTTGCTACATGTTCGTTGGACAAATCTGTCCGTATCTGGAATTATGAAACAAAGTAAGGAGGCATGATTTCTTGGTTATTACATGTATCTTTTGACTAAGTGAGCAATATGAACATACGAACAAATGTGAACAATATGAACAATATTATTCATAATATGAATATGAACAAATGAAAATTGCATGTACTTGCTAGGATTGGACAGCCAGTTTTTAAAGAATAGAATAGAATTCTTTATTGGTCAAGTGTGACTGGATCCATAAGGAATTTGTCTCCAGTGCGTAAGTTCTCAATGTACAATAAAACAATGAAGTGATAGGTCATAAATCATAGTTAGAATCATTAATCATAAGATACAAACAATAAGTGATAAATCATAAGATACCAATAGGAGAAGATAGTAGGAAAGATTAGAAGAAGGGAAAAGATGAGAAACGAGTAGATGAGAAAGATTGGTCTGGAATAGTACATGTAGTCCTCAATTTATGACCACAATTGAACCAAAAAGTTATGCTGCTGAGTGAGACATTTGTTAATTTTACAACCTTTCTTGCCACAGCTCTTAAGCGAATCATTGTAGTTGTCCAATTGGTAACATGGTTAAGTGAATCTGGCTTCCCTATTGACTTTGCTTGTAGGAAGGTTGCAAAAGGTGATCACAATATCTTGAGATACCACAACTGTCATGAGTCAGTTGCCAAGCATCTGAATTTTGATCACATGACCATGGGAAAATGGCCATGTGAAAAATGGTCAGTCCCTTTTTTAGCACTGTTGTAACTTTGAACTTGAGTAAGTAAATTGTTGTAAATCAAGGGCTACCTCTATAGGCTCTCTTGCTTGAGCAGGAGGGTTGGACTAGAAGTCCTCCAAGGTCTCTTGCCAGCCCTATGATTCTGTAGTTCTGAAAACGAGATCCTATTACAATGATGTGGTTGCAGTAGAAATGGGTCACTGGCACTATGTTTAGTTTTATGATGGTAGTTTAGGAAAGGATTATTATCTGTATAATGGTTTTAAATCCGGGTAAAAATCCATCTAGTACTTTGAGCTGTCCAAATTAGAAAAAAACAAACAAATATTTTTTAGATAAATATGGTGAAATGTTCATGTTGTTTATCATTATGTCAGATAATGCAAATAGAATGTTATACAATTATTCAAAACTATTATATAACATTGGGTTAGCTTAATTCCTAATTTTTTGCTCGTGGAAAAAATTTGTTCAGAGCTGACCATCCCCACTTAATGTTTTATAATACCTATGTTATATTGCTTATTATTATTAAAATGTTCTTAAGTCTTCTAACACAGCACAAGATAACAAAGAGATCAGTTAAAATCTCATGCCCTATGTTACACCACAAAGGTGTAACATTCCTTGTTTGTACAAAATCATTATGACACATCACTATCCTCTGTTCCTTCTTTATTCTTCTCTTGGAAGTTAGAGAATGCTAGATTGCTAAAACTGATTATGTCCACTTCATTACTAAATGAGCATAAATAAATCTTACATAACTTTTATATTGATTGCAGTAAGAAGGTGCTACATATCTAAATATGTAGCCTTCTTAAAACCCTTCTCTTACCAAGTAAACTCCTCAAATAAATATGAAATTAAGTATACATTTCCTGCTTTATATTATAATATATATCTTTAGAAGCCATAGCAGAATGGAGGATATAAGGCAACGATGCCTACCATAACCCTATTAATGTAGGGTAATTTAACAATTGGAAGGAATCTGTTTATCACTTTTGTCAGATATAGTAGTGGCAGTTCTAAATGTGCCAATTAATTAAAATATAAATGTAAAAGCAAATATAAATGGGAAAAACCGAGCTGGTTTTAGGAATAGACCTTTAATCTTTCTCTAAACAACTAGTTTTCCAACTGATGAAATCCTCAGATATACTGAATTGCTTCTTTTATGGTGATATAATTTTTGCTACCTTGTTTGCATGTACTGAATTGGATAGTTTAGTTTTGACCCTGTGGCCCTTCTCTTTGGTTTCCCAGTATTTCATCATAAAGTATGGCCAAGAATAGCACCAGCTGTAGGTTTTTTTTCTTTTAATCTATGTTGTACATTAATTACCATGGCTGATCCTGCTACAGCACACTCGACTTATATAAAGAGTACCAAGAAGAGGCATATGCACTTGCTTTTCACCCTGGTGGTCTGTGTGTTTTGGTTGGTTTTGCTGACAAACTTCGACTGATGAATTTACTTATTGATGACATCCGGACTTTTAAAGACTTCACTGTCCGAGGATGCCGAGAGGTAAGGATTTAGATAAAAGTACTGATATAGAAACTTGTGTGGAAAATATCATTCAAAAGCAGGATCATGGAGAAAAGTTTATAAGCAGATTGAAATGAGACCAACTTGTTAGACAGCATTGTGCACTGTGTACTTTGTATTTGTAAGCTATGTGTTTGCATTCAGGGATATACCTTTCTAAAATATAAAACATTCAAGGAAAACAGTTAAAATATCTCTGGTGTCCAATTTCCTGTTGTTATTATGATTTTAGTTCTAGTCTGCTACATAAGTCTGTTTTCTAATTAATCAGTCTGGAGCAGGGGACAACTTGGGCAGGCAATATTAAGAATAGTTTTATTTGTTTGCTTGTTTCTTCATATCCCTTTATTATTTTTCACAAATAACACAAAGTGGCAAACATATCCAACATTTGTTCCTCCTCCTATTTTCCCCACAACAACAAGCCAGTAGGATGAATTGGTCTGAGAGAAAGTGACTGGCTCAAAGTCATTCAGCCGGCTTTCATGACTAAGGTTGGACTTAAATCCATGGTCTCCCGCTTTCTAGCCTAGTGCCACTAGACCACACTGCCTCTTATCATACTTGAATGATTATAGAAAGACATGTGGAAAATACTTTGGTGACAAAAGAATAAGTTAGTCCTGGAATGATAATTCAGATAACTTAGAGCACACAAAGTATTGGTTGATTGCACACACTATGTTTAAGCATGCTTTTTAAAATACGTTGTTTGGTAAGTAGACCAAAGGAATTGGATTCACCCATCGTGCAGTGATATAACAGTGGTTTGCAAGCCCTAATATGTAGGTTCATGCAATATGTTAACCCAACACAAACAATTTATGGATCAATGTGAAATGTAAACCAGTTAATATCTTCTGACAAGAACGAAGGCTTTTGATTAGGGTTTGTCATGGTATAGCTAATTAATGATAATATATATTAAGCCTGGAGCCAAGCCTTGCAGCTGTGGGTAACCTACCAATTTAAATAGGGTCCTGAACTCGAAAGTTATTTTGAAAGCCCTTGTGGGATGCTAAACTATATTGAATATTTAATGTGTCAAAAAGTTAGTGTATAGATCATTTCTTTGACAGGTTTTATAAGAACTCTGAATAATTTTTTTAGATGTTCCTAGACACAATTTAGCTTTTTGAACAAAATTGCTTGTTTGGGGACACTGAAAGAATAGCTCTGTCTGTCAATCAAAGGGGTACAGGATTACTAGATGCTGCTTTCTGCATAGTTTCCAAATTATGTATATATTACTGATTCTCATAGTCTTCTGCTTCTTTCTTCAGTGCACCTTCAGTACAGGTGGTCATCTGTTCGCAGCAGTTAATGGAAATGTGATTCACATTTACTCTGCCATAAGTTTTGACAATATCATAAATCTGAAAGGACACAATGGTAAGGTCAGTGATTAGAGCTATAAGTTAGGTAAAATGCAAGTTAAATGCACACAAAAAGAGGGAATCTATCTCCAAGTGGGAAGTGAAGAATATGAACTTCCATAAATCTTTTCTCTTTCTAATCAGGGAAGAGGGAAAGAAACTCTCCCAGTTGATCAGTAGCAGTTAATGTGTTTCTTTTAAACTATTTAGCCTGGCTGCTTCCACTGGAATGTGTAGGTTTCTTTCCAAGTTCCTCCTGGTCTTGATCCTTCAGTTCCTCTCCTGTTTTAGAACCCTGCAGGAGGAGGAAATCACTGCATACAGGATAAATTTAGACATGAATATTGCGAAAGACATCAGGCCAAACCAAAGAACATAATTAGAAATGCATGTAATTGTCAAATTAAACATGGATCATGTAGATTTCACTGAGAAACAGTACTTTGTCATCATAAATAATAATTTGTAGAATAATTGCGAAGCCTTAGAGCTTCCTAACTCTGAATTCCACAGAAGTGTCCTATACAAGGCACAACATGGCCTTCAAAAAAAATTATTTATTTATTTGGTTTGTCAATTGCTTACAAGGTAATAGGTATAAGTAAAAACATAGTTATGAATACATGGATACATGTAAGAAAAATAAAAATAAAATAAAAGAAACAATAGGACAGGGACGGTGGGCACGTTGGTGCGCTTATGTACGCCCCCTACAGACCTCTTAGGAAAGGGGTGAGACCAATAATAGACAGTTTTTCAGTGTATTCTCTGAGCCCTCCAAAATGCGATGGCATATTGTAACGTTCAGTGTGACAAAAGGGGAAACGATTGAATGCATGACTGAAAAGTAATATTACTTGCTTAATTGTAAATATATTTACACGGAAATCCAATTAATCAAGGTTTTTGTCTGGTTTCCTATAGTGCTTTTTGTAGTGCAGCCCTTGGCTTTTCACATAAAGGCAGACCACCTTTATCCTGACCTGCTGTGTTCCCATCAGACTTTCTCATAAGTAAACAGTGAGCACAGGGGTTAAAAACCCACACTACGGTTCTAGCCTTAAAATAGAATGAACAGTGGCATAAATAAATGGGAATAATATAAAGCAGAAGACAGCTTAAGACTAATTGCCTGAATATTGTGCACTCTCATCGTCTTACCTTGCCCTTTCCCCATGCCGTCTTTAGGTACGGTCAGTTGTGTGGAGCATGGATGATTATAAACTGGTATCCTGTGGCACAGATGGAGCAGTATATGAATGGAACCTCCAGAATGGCAAAAGAGAATCAGAGTGCGTACTCAAGTCTTGCAGTTATAGTGGAGTAGCAATATCACCTGATACAAAAGTCATTTTCGCTGTTGGTTCTGATCATTCTATCAAGGAGATTTGTGATTCTTCGGTGAGCCATTGCATACATACAATACATGCATACATAATAGGGAATAGTGAAATTATATCTCATTGAAATTAGGGTCATGCCCTGAAATAATCTTGTATACATCACTTTCTGTAGTTGAGACTATCTAGCGATGCTAGTTTTCATAATTTTCTCTATGATAATCCAGTTATTAAATTATTTTTGGTATCCTAGATTCTTCCCCCTAAAGATCACAACAGATCAGGGTGGGGTGGGTGGGAAGGAAAGCAGATATGAGGCTTTCACTGTGGTGGGTATGGTTGGTATAAAGTGAATCTTGTTCCAAATAAGATCTTTACTTTTTGCATTACTACACATAGAAACATCTACCAATTACAATTACCAAAAGTTGTAATTCTATGTATGTTTCAGATACTGAGAGAAGTGCCCTCTTTTGACGTTACCTACACTTGCATTGTGATAGCTCATAATGGGCGGATGGTATTTACTGGAACATCTGCTGGGACCATCCGGTCCATGAAATACCCATTACCTTTGCACAAGGAATTCAATGAGTATCAAGCTCATGCTGGTCCAGTCAGCAAGGTAAAGTCTCTGTATTACCTTGACTGCCTGAGCTTTTCTGGGATTTTTCTTTTCTTCATTATCATACTAGTGCCTATGCATTTATAGTGCAATTCATGTCCACATTATGCATCTAAACTAATTGTCTTTTTCTTGGGGATTTGGAAATGATAATAGGATTAGAACGCTCTGTGTGAATCCAGAAGTCAGTGATCACAACAATAACAATGTGGTGTTATTATTTTATTTCTATGAAAGTCAAGATTAAACATAAATACTACAAACTTATTAAGGCCTTATTGAATCTGGTAGAATGTACCTCTTAAACTAGAATGTACACATGGCACTGCAGACTTCCAGACTGAGTCAGCAGCATTTATTTCTTCAATTTTTAAAAAGAGACCTAGCTGACAATAAGTTGCTTAAGCTTTCTTTACATCCAGAATCTCATTATATAAAAGATGCACAATATTCTAGAAGTGCAATAAAATATTCAGTGATGATTGCTGTTTTATGTACTTACTTGCAATGGAAAAGCCATTCCGAGGTAAGAAAAGAATTAGGTAGAAAACCTCCCTTCATATCATTTTTCATAGCAGCCCTTATGAATCCAACAGGGACATCTTTACTATTACTATTGTCTGCCTTTCCTTTTACTCAACCTTAAGAGTGCTGTCTCAGAGTTAAGGAAGCTTCTTTTTTAAAATTTCTACAGATATCCATAACATCTGATGATCAGTTTTTGTTAACATCTGCAGAAGATGGATGTATAATTATCTGGAAAGTATATGACAAAGAAGGACGGGGATTGAAAAGGGAGAGAGAGGTACCATATTCTGATGAAGTTTTGATTACTAGAACAGACATGGAAGAGAAGGTCAGTATAACTGCAAGGTATTGATTTGAGAATCATTACTATATGTATTTCCAAATGAAAAAGTTTAGATTATCATAAATCTGAGAATCAACAAATGTTAGTCAATAAGCAGCATTCTGAATCATAGCAGAGATATAGCAGAAGTTAAAATGGAGTCTATATTGTAAGATTTAGATGTTGATGACCTAAAACTTAGCTCCAAAGCCATACTGCTCCATGTTTTTAGGAAATGTTGTAGGTGTTAGAGAAAACACAGGTTTATTTTTGCCTATATATGTGCAATTCCAAAAAACATATGATATCTTGATTCATAGTTTTTCAGGAACCCATAAAAACTGTATGTATATGTTCTGTCTCACCTTTCTTTTTTCCCAAAAGATGAAAGAGTACAAACTCACACAAACACAGGCAGGCAAGCTGGCTCGGACTTCACAGAGTTAATTCTTTGGAACTGATAATGTCCTTGGCATTCCAACACGCTCTGCCTGCCAAGTCCGAACTGATAACAAGTAAAAAGCTACTCACAGAAAATTACAAGGCAGACCACAAAAATCATTCACAAAGAAAACCTGAAGTAAGATTAAACTTTGTCCCGTACAAAGTTCCAGCCGACAACACACCCACTTTTATCCCCCGTGGGGTGTGGCTCAATGACTCAGCTCACTCTCTGACCCTCCCACGCCTCTTACGTTGCTGCTCACGTTTCTCCCTATGACGCTGCTTAGGATCAAGCCAACATTCTTCCTCTTGACTCCCTGTCAGGGGCTGCTCCGATATGCCTTCCTCCTGATTAATCTCAGGCTGTTCCTCTTGGTTGTCTGATGAAACCTGGGGCATTATCAGGGAGGAAGGCATTGCCAGAGAGTAAGGTCCTGGGGAGGAAGGCATTCCCAGTTCCTCCTCCTCATCTTCCAAGTCCTCTTCCTCTGACAGCACAGGCTCGGGAATCGGAGCCACAACATGTATATATGTAACTAGACAGATCACACTCATATTAACCTGGAAACATGTATAACAAATGTCAGTGGAATCTCTAAAGATTGTACTATTAATCCATATATTAACAGCAAGTTGCAATGCTCCATAGCAACAGGATAGCATTGTGATAATGATAAGCTATCAAGTTGGTATCTGTTGAAGTAATTCCCCGTTAGGAGAATGAGTGCACACAGGGAGACGTGGTGAGGGTGGTGAAGAATAACATACAAACAGCACACAGCCACACTGTATAGTAGAATGTAGGTTTTTACTTCCAGTAAATGTTTAAACAAAGTCCAAACAAGCAGTCCAAGTCATTCACAGTTAAAGCAGTCAGTTTTCAGTCCAGGGATAATCCAAATATCAAAGTCCAGTATCAAAAACAGTTCAGTAACAAACTTATATCAAATCCAAGAATAACAGTCAGTAGGAACGGCAACACTCTCTAGAAAAAGACAACGGAACAGAACAGGACAAAACAACCTAGGTTTCTGGGTCCAACTTATGGTCATTTAAGGAACCACACTCAATTACAGTTTTAGCATTCTTTTAAAGAGACAGTATTAAAATGTCTATCCTGGTTTATATATTTTCCAACCCAACTATTAGATGACTTACATTCCTAACATTCTCCCCTTTGGGTAGGACAATATATACGACCTTACATTCTAAGTCCATAATCCTCACAGCAAGCCTTATGCTTTACAGAGCCTTGAGCTTTTGTAAAATGAACTGCGATGTTATTTTCTGACATACAGTATTCCAGCTTAATCATCTTACTTTGCACACATTGTCTCACATTTAAATATCTTAAATCTGTGTGTTTTGATCTTGTCTTAACAGCAATATTTGAAGCCGTCTGTATTGCTGATTGGTTGTCTTCATAAACAACAATAGAATCTGTTACATCAATTTCCATGTCAATTAATAGTTGCTTATAATAAACTAAATTTGTACATAATAAAGACAAACATGAGAATTCAGCCTCCATTGTTGACAAACTTAAATGTTTTTGTCGAATAGACCTCCATCCAATCAACACCTTTCCCAATAATACTACAGTACCTGATGTTGATTTACATGTATTTATGTCTGTAGCAAAACTTGCATCAGCATATGCAGTTAAACTCAGTTCATTCTTAGGCTCCAAATACAATGCATAATGCATTGTTTGTTTCAGATATCTTAAAACATGCTTAACAGCTTGCCAGTGCCTTTCAGTCGGCTCAGCGTTAAATCTTGCTAATTGGTTAACACTGTATGCTATATCTGGCCTTGACCAATTACTGAGATAAGATAAACTACCAATCAAGGACTGATAAATGTTCTTATCATAAACAGGACTTTGAACATCACTATGGTTAAACTCCTGGCTCATCGGTGTTTTAGCCGGTTTACAAAGTTCCATTTTAAAATGTTTTAGTAATTGGTTAATTTTATCTGCCTGTGAGATTTTGTATCCTCCCCTAGTTCTATCTATTTTTAAGCCAAGATATTGTTTGATTTCTCCTAACTGTTTTAATCTAAATTTCCTCTCTAACAGTGATATTATTTTAGTAGCTTTTTGTTCGGTTTTGGTGATTAATGCTATGTCATCAGTAAACAATAGCAACAATGAAATTACACCATCACTTTCTCTTTTAAACAAACATGGATCAGCCATGCCAGCTACAAAACCTATCTTAGTTAATTCCTTAACTGGTTCCACTCATATCCTGATTGCTTCAAGTCATAAAGATTCTTTTTCAATCTCCAGCAATCAGTTGTATTATCATTTTTAATACCTAACATAGGATAGTAACCCACAATTAAACAATAAACAGCTGTCTCTGTATATAGTACTGTGCACTCACACCAACTCTCAGTTATCTGAGCCAGGTATGGCCTGGGCCCATAATCAGAGTTGAGGTAATTCCTAACAGTATCAACTCTTAATAACCAGATAGATTTTTTTCAGGAGGCTCTGTCCCCAATCTGGTCTTTCATATCTACAAACAGTGCAGCCAACGCCACTATAATTGAGTCCATCCACATTGTTGTTTGTCATTCTTTTCTTCTCTTTCTTTCCACCTTTCCCAGTACAGTATTATAGATTTCTCCAAAAGTTAGTTCTTTTACATGTGCCCACACTAGGATAATCTGACCTTGATCATCTGTGCCTCAAGTGAGAATTCCGGGTTGATTGCTTTGATGATTGACTCCATGGTATTTTCAAGTGTCCTCTCCAATACCAGAATTCAAAAGTGTGAATCCTGTTTCTAGTCTGCTTTTCAAAATCTGATTTCCATCGAGTGTTACAGGAAAAATCACTGCCTACATTTTAACCTTTGTTAAACACATCCTGGCATCTGAATACCTTTTCCAAAGCCTTCATGGCTACTGTACCATGCTAGTTTGTGACATATTTCTGAACTGCTAGTTCCTTTACCATTCATAATAACAATATACCGGTAGGATCACACCATTAATATAGGAAACCAGTTATACTTATGATAGATAACATGCACAATCATTACTTTAATGTCCATGTATAAATTTAAATATTTACACATTGATTTCTTTTACTAACAATTTTACAATTTCTTATCCTGCAGTCTCAGGTTATGCTAGAACTAAAAACACGGGTAGAGGAACTAAAGATGGAAAATGAATACCAGCTTCGTCTCAAGGATATGAATTATAGTGAAAAAATAAAGGAATTAACTGAGAAATTCATCCAGGAAATGGAATCGTTGAAAACTAAAAACCAGGTGTGGCTCAAACATCAATTGCATCTCTATGTATATTATTGCATTACTCTGTTTCCAATCATGCAGTCAGTTAAACAAATTAAAAGTTGTCGATAAATTTCAGATGAAAATGTTATCTGTCTATATTTCAGGTTCTGCAAACAGAAAAAGAAAAACAGGAAATACAACACCAGGATCAGCTATCAGAACTAATAGAGAAACAGTCAAGAGAGGTGCAAGATTTAGGTTAGGAGAATCTGATATAACTGAATGAAAGTTTCAGTCTTTATAACAAAATATAACAGTTTTATGTATAGGTAACACATGCGCATCTTTCGGGTTTAAACTTTATCATGCCAAACAAGTAATTGGAGTTGATTTTATTTTTCATTTATTTTTATAACTTTCTTGGTTTCCCTGATAATGAAGGGGATCACTGCTCATGCATAATAAGCTTTTTCAAGAATATTTTCAAAGCATCTGTTCCTGAAAATCATTCACATTTATTTTTTCTTTTTCCATGCCCTAATGGTTAAAATTTGTGCAGTTTCTGTAATAACAATTTATCTTGAAGCTCCTAAACCTCTAGCTAGGAATCCTCTAATATATCATTCCTGTCTTCATTTTCTGCACAGGGAGTGGATTTAAAGAAATTTCCACTTTTATTTATGATCTTATCTTGAAAGAAACAAAACAACTGAATAGGAGAGTTTTATGTAGACATAAAGTTGCCAGAAATAGAGTTCAAAGCTAATAGTGATTTAGAAATAGTGCAAAATGTAGGAATATGAATTTTACAAAGGCAGATTCTAAAAGATATGGATTACAATACTAAAAATGCCCCTTCATTACTAATTTGTAGGCAACTTTATAGTGCTATTTTTAAACTCCATTTTTAAAAATTACTCTGGTGTTTAGAATCTGGAAATAACCAAAAGCTGCTGCTGGAATATGAAAAGTACCAGGAACTGCAAATGAAATCCCAAAGAATGCAGGAAGAATATGAGAAACAACTTCATGAAATGGAAGAGAACAAAAGCCAAGCACTTGAGGAACTGACAGAATATTATGAGGCAAAGCTGCTTGAGAAAGGAACTTTATTGGAAGAGGTAAAGCCATTATTATTATTATTATTATTATTAGTAGTAGTAGTAGTAGTAGTAGTAGTTTAAAAGCGGAATTGAAGCAAGTACAACATATCTTTCAATGTGCTGTATTCCTAGCTAATTTTGGTACAATTTTGTATGATCTCATTCTTGAATTATTTTGAGAATAAGAAAAAGGCAGTGTGCATACAACACATAGAAATACTTAAAGTCATTACCTAATCACTTCATTTTTTTATTTATGTACTATTTAGTGTATGCTTTTATTGTCAACTGTGTGATTTTGGTTGATTGGAGTATTAATAAAACTCTTAAAAATATATATTTGTAACAGTTCTTCCAAAAAGATACCCTCCAATTAGGTTCTGACTTATACCACTTTGCCTTTATAAATATTCCTTTTTTAAAACCAATGACTTGTAAGCATTCCAGCCCCTGAGAAGGGATGCTAACCAGAAAATTCCACAACTTAAAATGCTAATTTAAATATTTTCAGTTGTGTTTCCAATCATATATCTAGAAAAAGATGTCTTAACAAGCATTGGCTGAACCACATTAAAGGTGTGTTCAGTTTTAGTCTTACTAAAATTAATACTGAACTCGCATGTTATTCAAGATTTCCATATCTGATGACTGCCAAGGTTAGAGATTGTAATTGAGCTCTATATCAGAAGGCACTAGCAAATAAGGCCTTCAGTCCCATAACATCATGCTGCTGCTTTGGCACCCCCAGAATACTGTAGCCTATATTTTTCAGGATCTTGCCTTTTCCAGGCCACTCTTAAGACTTCATTTGTTTCCCCAAGCTGTTTTGCCTAGGTTTTACTTTTTTTTTATTCATCTAACAGGCTCAAGATGATGCTAGACAGCAACTTAGAGAATTTGAGGAAACTAAGAAGCAGATTGAAGAAGATGAGGATAGAGAAATTCAGGATATAAAAATTAAATATGAGAGACGGCTTCGAGAAGAAAGGGAATCCAATCTGCGATTAAAGGGGGAAACAGGAATCATGAGAAAGAAGGTCTGCCTAGTATTTTCTGGTTTTTTTGTGTGCTTTTTTGAGCATTGTGTATGTATGTATTTAAAATCAATAGCAGGCACACTGTTTTCTCTGCTAATTTGGCAATCAAGATATTAGCATACCACGTGAATAAATTATTCAAGACTAAATAAATAAAAATATTTAAAACACCATAACTTTTAAGATCCAAGCACCTGTTAAAATATTTATAATAAAAACTTATTGAAAGAAGAGTCAGCAAAAATCACAGTAATAGTTATTAGACTGATTACTACCCATGTTTTATCTTCAATCTAAGTTTTGTAGCTCTCATTCAGTCAGGTTGATGCATTCACTGAGGAAGTAAAATGAAAATTAGACATGGGTATTGTTAGTATTTTGATGACATATTACAAATTGCTTTTCTCCCCAAGTTTTCTATTACATATTAGATTTTTACCAACTATTAAGATAAACTTAAAATCCTGCTGTTCTCCAGAGGCTAAATCCCTTGGGAGATTGCTGTCAGGAAAAATCTACAGCAGAAAATAGACCTTTACATTCTATCCATTTCTAGAAAAACATTTACAGATAAATCAGTGTATGGGTAGCATACCAGAAAAATCTATGTTAAATCTGAGTTTATATCGGGAAAAAGAACCTGAATTTCTTATTTGCATTGGGTTTTTTTTCCATAGGCTTTTCAAAAAATATGTCAATTTACATTTTAAAGTAATTATTTCCATAAGAAATGTTTAAATTTTAGGTTGTTTTTATATATAATTACCGAAAGTACATTGAGAATGTTTTTGAGTACAGTATGATTTTTAGTGCAATAGCTTTCTAAAAGGGTATGAAGATGTCCAGTTTGCTATAATTTTAATTGATTGTTGCAAGTGATTATTTTGTTGCTGTTACAGTACTGCCGGAAACACTGACTCATTGTTTTCAGCTTGAAAGATAACACATTTTTTCAACAGTTTAACAGTCTCCAAAAAGAGATTGAGGAGCGATGCAGCGATATTGAGGCAATGAAGTTGGAGCAGCAAAAGCTTCAAGGGATTATTAAGGCTTTAGAGAAGGATATTATGGGGCTGAAGAGAGAGATTCAAGAAAGAGATGAGACCATCCAAGATAAAGTAAGTTGACTGGGTAATTTTATCTGAGCTACACATCCCAATATCTTTTTACCATGTTGATGCCCACCTAAAATCCTCAGTAGTCCTCATACAGAATTAGTCTTCAAATTGAAGAAAAGTTTTGTTCAGGATCAACTCATCCCATTCTAAGGGGCATTGCTTTGAATTCTTTATAGTTTCTCTAATATTTCTGATTGCTAGCACCTTTCTCCTACAATGTCCTTTTCAAATCACAAGGGATTGCTTTTCTCTGATGAAAATCTGAAATGTCCCTACTGCTTCTTAACTACTTCCCCCCCCCCGCACCCCCCACCTTGTCTTCTTTAGGAAAAGCGAATTTATGATCTAAAAAAGAAAAATCAGGAACTGGAAAAATTCAAATTTGTATTAGATTACAAAATTAAGGAGCTGAAGAAACAAATAGAGCCACGTGAGAATGATATCAAAGCCATGAAGGAACAGATCCAGGAGGTGAGAAATAAATAGTGCTTGCTGATCTTTTAGGCAAGCATTACCATGCTTCCCCCCCCCCCCCAACCCCAAGCATTGTTCATTTTTTGGGTTTCTCCCATTTCTATCTAAAATGTTATGAAGAAGGAAGGAAAAAGCCAAACGGAAGATCAAAAGCATCCTTTTACTTCCTCCAGCACTACTTGTTCTTATCGACCCAGGGATTCAAGATGTGTAAAAACAAATGCAGTTTTGTTGTTCAGTTTCTGAATTAACAGATTTTTACTTTTACACACACATACCTCTAATTAACTCAAAGAATAGCTGGTTAAATCAGATTTGAGGTACTGAGGCAGGACTCCTATAGCTTATGTAATGGCTCCAATTCCATCTTGGTACTTTTCTCATGTTTTTTTGTTCAAATCAGTGTTACTGTCTTATCCAGTCACTATGTATTTTTTTCCAGAGAAAATGTTACTGTATTTAGTATTTATTTAGGAATGTTCAAAGTCAATAAAGAAATAAAGAAATGTTTTGAAGAAAATGGCAACCGATTCAATCATTTAATGTAATTTATAAATTGTGGGCTCTATGTATGACTGTCTGTATCTATGCATGCTGTATATTAATATAGATATACAATACTATTGCCCAATAGCTTTTGATTAGTAGTATTAAAGGATCTCTGTTTGAAAGCACCCCATATCAGGTTACAGACTTTATGTAATATTTTATTGTTTCTCATGTCATCTCTTCAGATGGAGGGAGAGCTGGAACATTTCCATAAACAGAACACACAATTGGAACTAAACGTAGCTGAACTGCGGCTAAAGCTGAGAGCCACAGATCGTGAGATGCACAAAGAGATGCAGAAAGTGAGTGAGTATATTAAGAGTGAAGAAAGTGTTCATTGATTCACACCAAGGACTAGAAATGATAGAGAGTCAAGAATTGCTTCCTGAAAACTACAGTTAATATGAAATGTTTGCATCTTATTTTCCCAGGAGACAATTCCCAAATTCTTTCACATTATGGCCATATTATACTTTCCGTAAACACAGCCTGCATATTTATTCACCATTATTAATTATTAAGTCATCTAGGATGAATTTTAAATGATGGAAGCCTATTTCAACTGGTCCAAGGATTAATCAATTCAAAATGATATGCTGAAATATTTACTTGGTTATCTACCATGTTCCTTTTGACAGGTGCCATTTGGTTGGTATGAATTTTACAAAAACATGTATGCCTTTATTTGGGTCACAGCAAGGAAATGTATCAAAGGGAGCAACATTCTGCATATTGCCTTAAATATTTCTTTGATTGCAGGAACGAGATATGGAAGCACTCGTCAAGAGATTTAAAACAGATATTCACAACTGTGTAGGCCTCATCCAGGAGCCTAAGAAACTAAAGGAGTCCATTAGAGATATTTATGAGAAGTATGTACAGAAGGCAGATAGGGTGAGTAAGGTTTTACATCAATATAAATCTAGTCCAATTTACTCCTCTTAATAGGTTAGTATTTTTAAAAAATCTGTTTTTAAAAAACACATGCATACAGATATATTTTCCTCTTCTATATACCGCTGACAGAGAAGCTGTATGCAATTTCTCCTAAAGTAGTGGGTATTTACATGGGTGTCTTGACTGATCTTTTTTTTAATGCTTACATCTTTGATATACACTATTTTCTTGTCATATGATTTCCTCGTAGAACCCAAAATTGCAGATGGAGTCTAGCAGACTTGCTGTTCAGTTATGAACAGCAGATCTCTTTTACATCCCTAATAATTGAGAGTCGTATCCCCGTTTGTATCCCACAAACACAACCTTATTTGAGCTCTTGTTTCTTCAGGTGGAAATTGTTGGAGTTGATTCAGACTTGCATCAGGAGTATACACGGCAGCGAGAGCATCTTGAACACAACCTAGCAACACTGAAAAAGAAAGTGATAAAAGAAAGTGAGATCCATCGTGCAGATTATGTGCGCATTATGCAGGTACAAACTCAGATTTAAAAAGTGAAGTCCAGGGTTTTTTTCAATTGAGGGAAATTTCAATGAGTTCTGTGTACAAACTCAAAACAGACATTAATTATTTCCAAACTCAGAAGATATATCTGAGTCTCATGGATGATATCCAAATATATTAATATGAAATGTAACTGGGAAGGGAGAGAGAATATATTGAAATTTGGTTGCAGAAAATGATATTTTCTTCAGGCTGGCAGAAGTGAAGAACACAAGGTCATGGATCTATGTCCATTGTATATCAAGTTTAAGGCCTGATATTTTGTATATACTTTAGCTATATTTTTATGGATTGTTGTAAGCCACCCTAGAACCATTGCATGAGTTAGATGGCCCTATAAGTCTAGCAAGCAAGTAAGTAAGTAAAGATCATGTTCACTATGCTAGTCAACAACTGCCAGTTTAAACTGTGTTGTTCTTGACCCTTACATAGGAAAATGTAAGTCTTATTAAGGAAATCAATGATTTACGGAGAGAACTGAAGATTACTCGCATACAAGTCCATGACCTCCAGTCAACTCTGAGCCTGCTTAAGAAGCACAAGAAATCAGGACCACAACCCCCAGGTGATTCCTGTTTTTTTAACTATCACTCTTTTCTACTTTTTCATAGCAAGTAATACTCTATTTTTTTCTTGCTGCTTTTCAGTAGAGGCTCTGACGCATGAAATAGATAATGAAAACCAGTTTGTTATAGTGGTTAAGATGCTGGTCTAAAAACCTGGAGACTGAGTTCTAATCCCATCTTAGGCATGAAAGTCAGTTGAGTGACTGGGGGGCCAGTCACTCTAAGCCCAATCCACCTCACAGGGTTGCTGTTGTGGAGAAAATTGGAGGAGGAAGATTAGGTTTATCTGCAAAATCTAATCTAATTAAAAAATGCGTCTTTGTACTGGATTGTCATTCATTAGTGCTATTAGTTAGGTATTTTTGAATTGCTGAAAGAAAAATTTAAATCTCTAATGTAAATCTGGCATTATTTTATTGTAACGATTTTATGTAGATCGGACTCAGCTTAAACATAAACACATTAATTTCATTGTATTTTGTGATTAAGTATATATGAGCATTCTAATCACCAAGAAGAGTGGTTTCAAAGTTGTATGTGGAACCAGATGATTGAAGCCCCATCCTGCTTCATCTGGGTATATTGTGTGTAACACATTTTAAAGAGGGACAGGGCTTTGATTACTCAGACCTACAATTTTGAAGTCAGTTTTTATTGCTATGGACCTCCCTGCAGATAGTTTAAGTAGCAAGCAAGGAGATGGAATAAAGTCTCTGCTTACAAAGTTTAAGCCAACCATTACTGCTTAGCCCAACCAAGATTCGGTCTAAGGTTAATATAAGGAAAATGCGGCATATGACTTGCCTGGTTTCTTGGAGAAACAAAATGTAAATGTGATAAACACAAAATGACTAAGAATCATAGATTTGACTGTTTTCTATTTGTGTATGCCAATATTCTTATAATCCAACTCTTTTTGTAAGGATTTTTTTCCATTAAACCACTTATATGAGAGTGAACAGTCATGTCTGTTGTTTCAATCGTGGCGGAACTGCAAACTCAAGCAATACAAGGCAAAATTCAGTTCAGTCATAGGAAGGACAGGCGAAAGAAGCAACAGAATTAAAATTACAGTGGATATATGGTGAAAAGAGAATTGTACCTTCATGGGTGACAGAGGGTACTCATCTGTTTCAATGACTTTTTAGTTTGTACTACCTAACTTATTGGCCAGCAGATGGCGATAATAAGCAATCAATAGAGACTTTGCACTCAAATAGCTGTGGATTAAAGAAAGCTACTACCTTTTTTTCCAGTACAGGTGATCTTTGAGTTATGAATGTAATGGAGCCTGCCCATTGCATTCGTAACCCGAGGATTCGTGTGAGTGAATCTCATACCATGAATGGGATCACTCCCTCCTTTCACCCAGACATTTGCTAATCGAATGTGAGGCTTGTTAAGTGCACACAAGATATTTCGGGGTGAAGATCATGGGAGAGTGGGGCTAGTGATGGAACAGGTCACCTGCCTATGACCACCCAAGGCTTCCCTGACCCATTGAAATACTTATGCTCCCACAATTGCTTCCCCCTCCCTCCCTGCTGCAACAGGTCACTTACCTTGTGAAGATCTAGCAAGCAGCCTCCTCTCCAACCTCTCAGCTGCATGCGCCCTTCCAACACTTCATTTGGGCCTCCGCAGGCCTTGCCCGGCAGGTTGCCGGCCAAAATGGAGCTTCTGAGAAGCTCCATTTTGGCCAGCAAACTACCGGGCGAGGCCTTTGCATGCCCAAATGGAATGTTGGAGGGGCGGACTTGTTCATAAACACTAGGGGATGCTTATCACGAACTTTGAACATTTGCTAAGGGAACGCTTGTAACCTGGGGATTACCTGTATAGAACCTGTCTAGAATCTTAATACATATTAATGTTTTCCCTGGATCCCCTGAGTTTAATTTTCCCACTTAGCTTGCTAGGAATTTCTCTGTCTCTAGTTGAGGTATACTTGCTGTAAAGGAGCTCCTGAATTCTCCATTAAAAGTACTTTTCCTTTTAGCAGATCTGTCTCTTTCAATTCTCCCATGAAAGTTTGGATATGCTATTAAATACTTTCTGCAGCTTCAAAGAGGGCTTCTGAGCCATGCCCATTTATTGAAGGAAGAATTATAGAACCATCTCTTTCTTTTTTTCTTTGAAATTGCTGTAACCAAACAATTCTTTCTGCAAAGAAATTCCTTGTTATAGAACAAATATTCTACAGGGTTCTAATGAGCCACAATCAAACCAACATACTTTAAAAAACCAAATATCTCAAATATGAACTTTTTGTGGTACTCAGCCCTCCCTATCAAACTGTTTTCATTAAAAGTCCACAAATAAAAATAACAGAGCAACAATAATAACAACTACTATTAATAGGAAATTCAACATATGTATCTTTTCAAACAGTTTGGGCATGCCTATATTTGGAGTTTAAAAATCAAGTCACTTTTTCTCTCTGCACATTGAAATACAATTTCTATGTTGCTTTCATTTACGGAGCTACAGTTTCTTATAGGGTAAAAAAGGTTTGCATGTGAATGCCATACCCTAGATACTGCTTCATCTCTCTGTCTGGGCAAGAATCAAGCAATTTACTGCATACATTGACTCATGTCTAAGAGAACAGCAACATTATGTTCTGTATGTATCCTAAGACCTTAGGATTTAAAATGACCTTATTTACCTTCCTACTCTCACTTTTTTTTGTAAGATTCTCATTGCTATTTCAAAAGAACACAATCACATGTTTCTCTGACTTCCCAAGTGAAGGAATCCAGTTTTTCAAACAATTCCAGTGAATTCCTTCAGGGCCCACAGAACAGATGCTATGTCTGTAGTCAAATAGTCAGGGCCATGTAGGTGAAGGATAAAAGCTACTGCCATTAGGCTAATTTTCTTATCCTCATATCTCCTTCATCAATTTTCTCCCCTCGGGATATGTGATTTATCTTGCATAAATCAAGAAGAGAATGCCCCTTGTGGCAGAAAGTGAAGGCGCGCAACTTCAACCTTTTTGTTCCCCAGGGTATTATTTTTACCATGACTACTTAAATTGCATCCTTAAGTAAGATGCACCCCTGAAAATTATTTAAACAGTGTAATATTTTTGGCTGAAAAACAACTTCCTTTATAGTTACAACTTCAACAAAAAAAGTATCTGAATCCAAAAGGATTTATTAATCATGGGTCACCCAGCGGTCTACAGCCCGAAGGTCTTTCAGCAACTACGCATTTCTAGTGTGTTTGGGCATTATTATGTGATCTCATTTAACATTTTTACTAGTTGGAAGCATTCCCAGAGCCAGTTATGTTGCAACCTTAATGCTATATAAAGCTGTATTCTGCAATGCAACAGGTACAAGCATTCCAGATTCCAAAAATGAAAAATTAGTTAATATCCAATCAATATAATTCATTAGATAATGTAAGCACAACTCTTCTTGCATAATTTCATATATGGCAGCACCTGTATTTTTCACTATTTTCTCTTGAGTTTCTAAATACTGTACCAGCTTTCTTGACTTCTGACTCCCCCCGCGCCCCCGAAAAGAAGCTGTCTATGACTTCTATTGACTTTTGACTTCTTTTTTCATTTAGGTTCCTCCCCTGATTGGCAGCTAAGTCCAGGCATTCTGCGTTTGAATCTTGAAGAGGAGTCTGAGAGAATAATTCAAATGCAGAGACTGGAAATCAAGTGCCTTCGAGAACAAATGCAGGGGCAAGAGAAAGCCCTCACCATCCGGCCTTTGTCGAGTGGAAAACTCCCCATTCTGGAAATGGACAAAATTAGTGACATACAATCACATTGACTTGGCTAGAAAGAACTCGACATTGCAGCTTTCTGTATTTCTAAACGTTCCCTAAACGCAGCTCTCTGCACTTGTAATCTTGTCCAAGTGTGATTGGAGGACGGCTTTTTCCTGTTCTTTTTTTTTTTTTAAGCATGTCTAGTTTTGGATTGAGACAGAATATTAAAGAAACAGTAAACAAGCTAGTCTGGATTTGCCTGCCTCCTGTTAATGTTTCAAGTCTGAGGACTGGAAAATCAAGTGAGAGCACACACAGAGCTTTAGGAAGGAAATTGGTCACCTGGCTTCAACTTAAAGCAGAATCCATTGGAGATAAAACCCTTGTGTGTGGCATTATTAGAAACAGGCTAACCGATGTAAACTTTGAATATGTTACTGTTTGTTATTTGTCCAGAACAATTTTATTTCACTCTCGTAAAACTCTTTCCCCTTCCTCACTTCTTTCTTGCCATTTGTGTTCTCCAGCACCGTGCCTATTTTAAGATTCTACTTCCTTTAGCTTTTTCTATGTATGTAATAAATTTCCCGTTGGCCCAGATACTAAGGAATACTTGAATAATAACATTGATGAGACCAATTTAAACAACAATTAAAGGTTCAGGCTGTTTCCTTCGTCTTCCTGTAAGTGTTTGGTTTTTATTGCTTGACTTGCTGTCACAGTTTACCTGCTGATTTTTGATTCTGCACATTTGAAAAAATGCTTGGAGTACTGTGGTCTGTGGATATCAGTAAAAAGCTCCCACCATAAAGAGAGCAGTGAGAATAGAAATAAAATAAAACATGGCATCTTGAAATATATAATTTGATGTGCACAGTGTCATGATAATAATACAACCTTTTTTTAAAAATCAGCGGTCATGTTTTTTTTAAAGAAAACACGTTTCCGAGAGATTCTTCCCATGACCAAGCATTAGACGGGACATAGCAGTGGGCATCATGATATCACTGGAAGGGTAAGCAGAATGGTTTGCCTCTGCTTTATGGCTATAGTGACATGGATCGGTGTCTTTATTACAAGCACTTGTATTACATTATTATGTTTTCATTTCTTACTGTTAACATAGAAAACAATAAAACAAAATAATGCCCCTCACATATTTTACTATTTTTTTAAATCTGCCTTTATTACTTGTAAAAGTAACTATAACTATAACTCTGTTATATCCTATAACTCTGTCCTCCTCCTATTTTCTCCCCAGCAACAGCCCTGTAACTGGTTTGGGCTAAGAGCAGAGGTGGTATTCAGCAGGTTCTGACCAGTTCTGAAGAACCAGTAGCGGAAATTTTGAGTAGTTCGGAGAACCGGCAAATACTACCTCTGACTGGCCCCGCCCCGTCTATTCTCTGCCTCCTGAGTCCCAGCTGATCGGCTGGGTCTTCTTTTGTTGCCCTGCACAGGAGAACAGAACTGGAAAGCAAGTTAGTGGGGTGGGGAGGGAATGGGGATTTTGCAGTACCCTTCCCCTGCTACACCCACAAGCCACGCCCACCAAGCCACACCATGCCCATCAAGCCAGCCCACAGAACCGGTCGTAAAACAATTTTAAATCCCACCACTGGCTAAGAGGATGAGTGAAAGGTAGATGAGTGACATCAGGTCAGTTGGATTTGATGCTGAGAAGGTCTCAAGATTGACTCAGCCTTGTTGGGGGTGATATGCTGACTCTGTAAACCCCTTAGAGAGGGTTCTAAAGCACTGTGAAGCAGCGCTATCTAAGCGCTATTGCTATTGCTCTCACAGATCTCAGAGCCAGTTTGGTTAAGATGCTGGTCTAAAAACCAGAAGACTGAGTTCCAGTCCAGCTAAAGGACCTTATTAAGAAAGGTCCTGGTCACAGCTCTTTATAATATCTGACAAATTACATCATTCATATTCAGCATTCTTCTGTACATCTATCATCATTTCCTGCAACGAAAGCGGATGTAATTGAACTCTATCATCGAACTCTATCATTAGCTAGAATTACTAGCTAATTATTCTCTGATGGGTTATATTAAAATAGTTTTGGCTTCATCGAGTTGAGGTGCTGCCCTTATGTAAGACATTTTTTCGGCACCACATGTCTTTACACGTGCATACACAATTTTTAAAGAGGAAATCTAAGATCCTGCTTTAAATAGTTAACTTCCTGATTGAAAAAAAGGGCCAAGCAACTTATGTTGAAGAAGCACTTTGCCCTGTAGCAGTAATTGATCTCTAGCACTAGCGAAAAGACAGTTCTCAAATAGGAAGATACTTATGGACTTGCTGCTTAATTGTAACGTGGGCTTCATTAAATTTGTTGCAAAATGTACAATTCTGCTTGGGATTCCAAGGTAAAATAACAAATCTTTGTGTGCAAGACATGACCATGTCATAAAAGGAAGTTTTCTCTACATGAACAGGTGCTAGTGTTGTTTTGTATCCATGGTATATGGAACGTAACACCCATTATTAAGCACACAGTATACACTTCATATTGTCAGTATTGCCCTAGTAACAGTTACATTTTAAACAGGAATCAATGTAAATTAAAAATCAATATATCCTGCTAAACCATATTGTAATTTAAACAAGAACATTCAAGAGAAAGGTATCTAAAAAGGATTTAAAGCATAATCTTTGCGATGAAAACAATACCACAAAATTACTGGGGGGGGGGTGTTATTAACCTGACAAGAAAATATAGCAGCCAACTTCAGTATTACTGTCAAGAAAACTTCATAGTTGTGTCCAGGAAGTCACTATCAATTAAACTGGACTTGGAAACTTCAGTTATAGTATATTCATCAGACTAATAATTATATCATCTAGAAGAGCGTTAGATTGCAGGAGGAACTTAACAACATGCCAAAATGTTTATGTGCTTGTATCAAAAGAAAAAAAAAACCCACTGTCATTTGGAGGGAAATATGCTGCTGCAAATCACGAACAAGAAATCAAGATACTGAAATGTAGAACATCCAAGAGTTTGCCATAGTTTAGAAATATTATGAAAGAAACTACTGGTAATGTAATTTTCCCTGATGGTGGGCTTCCAGACAAGTTCAATTCCAGTTTCAACACTTTCCCTGTCACTTGCCTATGCCATCAGAATAGAAGAGATCTACCAACTGTGTTGAATGCTCTTCAGAAGGCATTTCCTGACTTGTATCTAAGCAGGGGACAAATTTACATGATATGGAGCAACATATTGTTTTCTACTATATCAGTGGTGGGATTCAAACTTTTTACTATCAGTTCTGTGGGCATGGCTTGGTGGGCATGACAGGGGAATGATACTGCAAAATCCCATTCCCTCCCCCCCACCCCCACTAACCTGCTTTCCAGCTCCATTCTCCTATGCAGGGCAACAAAAGAAGACCCAGCCGATCAGCTGGAACTCGGGAGGCAGAGAATAGATGGGGGCGGGGCCAGTCAGAGGTGGTATTTGCCAGTTCTCTGAACTACTCAAAATTTCTGCTACCGGTTCTCCAGAACTGGTCAGAACCTGCAGAATACCACCTCTGTACTATATCCCCATTATATGGACTCATGTCCTCAGTCCATATGTGAGGCAGGTGTAAACTATCCCATTGCTAAAGTAATAGTTTCCCCTTAAACTAAGAGCAACCCGTGGTTGTTCCAAAGTGCTTAAAATATGATGTGCTTCAACAACCATTCTGTTGGCAACAGAGTCAGAGAACAATAGGGAGATGGGATCAGTGTAGGACTAGTAGCCAACTCAGGCTGATCTGGGGACAAGCCTGTCAGTTACTGGGCCCATTCTACCATCACCTTCTGGGTTCCCCCACTTCTCTCTATGTCTTGGAGAACTGGAGATAGCTTTGAGGCCACTGCCATGTTCAGCTTTACAAAGGAACAGGTTTTGAAAAACAGACCAAAGCCCTCGTGCAGTCTAGCTATTTGTCTAAACTCAGCATCTCCAGAACCCCACTAAACAGATGCACTCAACATTTTCTTCCTGTAGCACATATATCACAACAGGAGAGGCACTTGTTAGCTTGCCACCTGTCCCAGCCCCATCTTCTCATCAATGTCATGATTGGCTGCTACTGGCAGGTGAAAAGTCAAAGGGCAGCAAAATCATAAATAAGGTTTTACCAATTGCTTTGTTTAATCAGCCTGCAGGCATGAAATATGTGCACCACTATTTGGCTTCTAGCCAAAACAGGCAATCAATGCAGAATAGATACCGGCAGTGGGAACAGAAAATATTGTGCTGGTATAACTTTCCGCCAATTGGACAGATAGAATTTTAACAGACCCCCAAATCCAGCCCAATCCAGCCCCTGTTCCTGCAACAGTCTATAGACTTTTTAATGACCATTGCATGCTGTTCTAACCTTTGTAGGGTTCATCAGTGATCTGTTCAATTTATGTGTTCATTCCCCAAACAGATTTAATATTTCCTATTAGGACTCAAGGTCCATTCCTATTCTAAAGAAGTCTGCCAAAAATTCCCAATCTCCCAACAAAAGATGGTACTAATCTATACTAATCATTTCCTTACTGCCCCCGTGAAGTTCCTTGAAGAAGAAGAAAAAAGTCAACTGTCTTGCGAGAAGCCATCAATCTATCATCCTGTATTATTTATCTCTACCTGTAATGTGCATCCTTCTTTCTTTCGGTTCACCAGCCTTATTTCCACTCCCCACGTGTGCACACACCGTCATCAGGCTGGAATGTTTCCAAGGACAACAGGTTGTCTCTCCAACCCCACCCTGCAAGAGAATGTACCTGCCTGGGCGAAGGTCAGTGACTGTTCTAAGCCTATCAGATGAAGCATCTGGTATTAGACGGAGGAAGGAGGTGGAACTAGCACCTGTTACTTGATAGGCATATGCAGGCAGAGAGTGAAGAAGGCAGGTTTCGATTTTATCTTTGGACCATACTCTAACATCTGACCACTACGCAACCACAATGGAAAAGGAATATGGCACCAGGATCCTAGGAAACCCAAGAACACAGCCCAGGAAAAGATTCTGGCAACAGCATCTTCTGTGATTGATCAGCTGTAGGTGAGTGAAGCCCATCCCAGAAAATATCTGTGCCTTCATGACATGCTAT